GATAGGTAGAAGAGAAACATAATAAATTGTATCTACAGCCAGGGCCAAGGATTCCTATAGATCTTATTCATGTGGTGAACTCGGGCCCCCCTCCATGCCTGCCACACAATTAGCACCACATATGGCTCTCACTCTCTACTAATCAAAGGCGATGGGTTCCTCTTAGCTAAATCCTATGGTTTAAATTCAGACTTGGATAAACTTTTACTTTTTCAATGAAGTAAATTGAAGGGGAATTAGGTTTAGAAACTTATGAGGGATGAGGGTCTGATATCCACCCTTGATCTATGACAGCTAGCCAAGGGACGGATGGCTGGACTGAAATATTCTCTTCATCTTATAGATCACTAATATCAACGAGACAACGACCCATATTGCTCCAAGTTAAGAAGAATATTCTAGACTCCCATGAAACTCTAATCCAACTCCATAAATATGGGTCTTGGGCACCCCATTTTCATTACTCACCAAAGTAGTGTTAAGCTGCAAAAATTGCCTTAACCTCCATACTTAGTGTCCACGCCACACCTAGGCTCTCTTCCTCCCTCACCTTGGTTCGTGGTGTGTTATTCCCTTGAGTCTTGGCTTGATACCATCCCACACTATCCTGCACTGCACTTTCCCATCACATTCTTTGTGCATAGTTTGACCTATCATCCATGATGGACCCCCACGCCACCTCTAAGTGACTGAAATCAGTCACATATTTCCTCAACTTCAGTCACATTTGGCTGCTCCTTGGTTTTCATTGTGTTGGTCATTTAAGACCCTTGTAGCGTACTAGTTGTGTGCTTGATTACCTTGTGTTTCGAGTACCATTCACTTTCATTTGGCAAATCAAGCAAGAAAGTCTCAACCCACTCCTCCCATATTTTCTTAGCCCTCTGGAGAGACCTTTGAGTGGATTTGGGGTGTTCCCATGGTTGCAGCATGCGGAGCCACGATCCGAGTGCTATCGAAGGAAGTGATTAGGCTTGGGGTGTTGCAATTCTTTGGGGTAATGTTATGGCATTTGGATGTATTTTTGGCTTCCCATGGTTCCATTGATTTCTTGTGCATGTTTTTATTTTTTGATATAAAGAGATTGCAAATGTTGTCCATGTAATGAAGTTGGAGTTTTGTGTTGAAGTTGAATCTATACATGTGCTGAATTTTGTATAGTTGACATCATATTGTACATTGCAATCTCTATTGTGTCAATGAATGGAAAGTGGTTTGGGGGCATGCTAGTGTAAGTCCTTGGGCGTTGTTTCAGCTGTAATCAAGTTTTCTTTTGTGGCCTTTGTCTTGCATTTCTTAGTTATGAATGACTTAACTGGGAACCTACAGGATGAGGTATCGTGGTGCATGTTGGTCACATGTGACAGAGTTTTAATTGATGAGACCCGAAACAACGTTAACACAAAGTTCAAACTTAGAACTTTGGAGGGATGCTCTATAATCTAAAAGTTTTAAAATTAGTCAGACTTAGACAGAGTATGTGAAGTGCAAGGTTAGTAATAATAGGAGTAGAGACGAGGAAGTAGTTAAGATTGACGGTCAGGAAGTACAAAAAATATTGCACTTTCAATATCTTGGGTCGATAATCCAGGAAAATGGAGAGATCGAGGAAGATGTTGCACACAGAATTAGAGCTGGGTGGGCGAAGTGGAGATGTGCAATTGGAAATTTATGTGATCGCCGCATACCAATGCGGCTGAAGGGCAAGTTCTATAGGACAACGGTGAGACCAGCTTTGCTCTATGGGGACCCATAGAATGAGTGTTGCGGAGATGAGGATATTGAGATGGATGAGTGACAAGACAAGAAGGGATAGAATTCGAAATGAATCTATTCGAGAGAATTTAGGCGTGGCACCAATAGGCGATAAAATGAGAAAGAGTAGACTTAGGTGGGTTGGCCTTGTGTGGAGCCGACCAAGTACAACACCTGTTAGGAGGTGCACGTTAGTTCAAGTGGAAGGACTGAAAAGGGCAAGGGGTAGGCCCAAAAGGACATGGTTGGAAGTAGTCCGAATATATATGGGGATTTATGGCCTCACTGAGGATATGGCCTTTAATAGAGTATAGTGGAGAACTAGGATTCATGTAGCCAACCCCAATTAATTGGGAAAAGACTAAAATGATATGATGATGAAGTAGTCTTCTGGATGTAGAACATAGTTTTCTTTTGAAAAATTCCATACCGAGAAAAGCTACATATGATCCTTCAGATTCAATATCTACTTAATTTCAATCTTTCAGTTTACTACTAATACCAATCTTTATTTCTAAAACGTATTGGTATAAAAAGGATTTGGAATCGGTAATATAGTATGTAATTTGTAAGAATAATTTGGATAGAAATTATATTGTTTCTTTTTTGGTCAAATCAATGATTCATTTTCTTTTACTGTGTTGCTTATTTGAAAAACATTTGCATTTAGAGAGAGCATATAAGGAGATAGTGATCTGATTGCGGGGAGTTTTGTTTTCAAATGATCTTTGTATCAGAGAGCGTATGGGATGAGCTGGATGAGGTAGATGTTGAATTAGCTTGAGTTATCCTACCTAAACCCTCTCTTCATATGGTCTCTTGCAAGAGGTACCCTAAACTCTCTTTCTTGGTATTGTAGTATTCTAGTTGAATTTCACATGCCCGCCCATTGACTGTCGCTTATAATGTAGAATAGAAAAAGGGTCTGTGCTTGTGACTGAGGCATTCTTTTGAGAGTACGTGTAGAGTCTAGAGATTTGCCCATTGACTGCAGCCTATGTACATGGTGTGGCTTGCATTAATTAGTTGTTCATTCCCAACTGGAGTTTGTTTAATCACTAGAGTATTGGTTGTGATGGTTAATAAATTGGGTGACATTTGCTACATTGTCTCCTCGTTAACTCTTGATGCATTTATTTGGAGAGTTTGAAAAGAAACAAATAAGTGTATCACCCATGTATTATAGTAGTGAATTATTTGCTAAATTCTCATCTTAGATATTTGGGCTATGGGGCATTCTAATGGTGGTGGAGAACTCTGTCATTGCTCTAATGGCAATTAACATCATGCATGCTTTGAGGTTTAATAAAAACCATGATACTTTTGCTATTTCCAATTTCCATTATAATGTTTATTTGTGGGGAATAATCAACTCTTCTTTTAGTTTTCTGCGTGGGTTGATACTGTTTGAAGTTGATACTGCTGGTTTTGGTGGAAGGATGGAACAAGTGGTTTCCATCTCTCCCGCCAACCGTGGTGGCTTAGCAATCGGCAGATTTTTTTTTGCTTTTGTAGTTCAGCTGCCGTAGGGTTCAAACTTGGAACACTGTGCTGCAATTTAGCAACACTGTAACTAGATGCCCAATTGTTTAGCTATTAGCGAGATTGTTGACGGTTGAATTACTGTGTATCTTTGAGTTTGCCCATCTAGAGCAAAGCAAACTTAGGCTGTTTAACTAGCAATTGGGTCGGCAATGACCCACGCTTGGGCTTGAGTATCCTGTGCGGCTGTGCCTAGCCCGACCCTGGTCCCTATGGGGCTGGCTCGGGTCTGGACCATGCCAAAGAGGCCTTGGCCGCTTGGTTCGGGCCAGATCGGGCCTAATAGACCTTGAGAAGAAAAAAAAAGGGAAAAAAGGGGCCTAGCCAGGCCTAAACTTGTTGTGCCCCTGGCCCGGGCCTAGCCCAACCCGGTTCTTGGACTATATTTTGTGGCCCACGCCCAGTTTTTTAGGGCTGGGCCGACCTGCCCTCTCGGTGAATTTTCAGCCCTACTATTCGATATTGGAGTCAACATTATTTTCCGTGTGATGAGAACCCACTATTTTACCTTGATCTAGATCTATTGTGTAACTGTTTCCCTTAACTTCTTTTTATTTTATAAATTATTTATCATCAAAAAGAAATTCCAGGAAAATTGTGAATAGTTTACCAGACTTTGGAATGAAATGGATTATTAACTTCTCTAAACTCTTTTCAAATCTTGTTGTCAGACTTAACAAGATCTAAATAACACTTGCGGGATTTTAATCAGAGTAATAAATAATCAAATTGGGGGTTTCTTTGAGCTTACAGATATCATCAAAATTCAAAATTTGCAACATCTTAATTAAAACCAAGAAAGCATGATACATATTCTAATTGTTTATATTCTAATTGTTTGTAACAAATATTTCAAAAAAGGACATTCTTCAACTAGTAAAAGGAAGTCATATTGTACTTCCAATTTATGATATGAAAAAAGGGCCAAGATCAATTAATTTGTTCTTATATCAACTAAGTTGGTTGCCTGGTGTAACTGATGTTTTTTTTTTTCCCTTTGCCCTTATATCAACTAAGCTGGTTGCCTGGCGTAACTGATTTGCTTGTTTGATCGAGTATTGCAGTTTAGTGAATGCGGTACTCGTTCCATTTATAGCATTATAGCTTAGTATATGACCTGCACCATAGAAAATGTTTGGGATCTTTTCTTTTGTAGAATTTACCCCTTAAGGTTCTAACCTTGCTTTCTGTACAGTATCTTCAACTAGTTCTGGTTTATCTGAGTCTTGTGTCTTCATCTATTGAGTATTATCAACGGGTTTGAATGTAAGACTTACTGATAACTCACACCAATGTAAGACCTACTGATAACTCACACCAATGAGTTATCCAAATACTTCCTGCTAGTTATGCTTTGTCTTTTTTTTAGATTTATTTGCTCCTTCTTTGCATGGATTTGCTCGAATGCAGATGGACGCAAAACTACCAATGCATATATTTGAAAAAGTCATGCAAGTAGCAATGGAGGGATGCAGGGCAGTTGCTCAATACATCCGAGAAGTATGAAATTACTCCTATGACCTCATATGCATCTCAATATTTCATAACCGTACCTTTTATGTAGTGTATTTATACCATGATGGATTTTGGATTGCCTCGTATAATTAATCTTTATTTTCTAGCCTCTAGAGTTAATGATTAAGCATGGTCTTTCGAGATTGTAAACTAATTTTATCATACATATGTTTGTCATACTCTTTAAAGCAGAAATTCTTGGCTATTGAAATTTTTCAGTGTTTATGACCATTGCTTGGACTAATGATGTATTGACATGTGGAGTGACCAAGTTTCTTTTGTACTTTTCAGCATATACATGCTGCTGCTAATGTACTATCTAATATTCTTTTATTTTAGGCATCTCTTTTACCCATATACATGCTGCTACTAATGTAATATCCAATATTATTTTCTTTTAGGCATCTATAGTAACTCCTGTTTCTGATCAATAGAATGATCATTTCATGCAAATTTAGTCTAGAGAATGGTAAAGATCACTTGGCTGTTTATTTAATCTGGCAAAGTTGGATGAACATCATTTCACTTGGGTTGAAGGAGAAATGATAATAGGCAAAATTATTGGCTCCTTAGATCTCTCCTTGCAAATCCCCATACTAAATTTAGGAGCACAGCTTTGTCCATATTTCGTCACTCTAGTCCATTTTCCATTTATCAACTGAGAAGGTTACTCTTGACTGCCAGTGAAACCTCCTCAATTTGGCATCAAAATCATTCATGTAAGGAGCAACAACATTGTCAAGGAAGCTTCTAATGAATGGGAAGTGGTCATGTCCATAAAATTGTCGCTTGCTTGACTCATTGTTCTGCATCTTAGAAGTTTTTGTTTTATAGTAATGACAAAAATACGGTTTGCGAGCCTAAATCAATATCCTAAAAACTAGCATTAGCCCCCTTAGAAACGGGTTCAACGCTAGGTGGTCAGGGTTGCAGGGTTCCAACTAACCAAAAGAAAAAAAAAAAGGTCTCCTTGGCCATATATACACTTTTAACGTCATTGTAAAATTGACATACCTGGGGATGGCAGCATTTTGCTATTCCCCACACATCTATTGGCTAAGATCTATTTTCAAGGATCTTGAATCACACTGATTTCTTGCATTGGGCAATGATCTGCCACCAATGTGTAAAAAGCATCATTGTGGGTCAAATGAGAAAGTCCTGACTTAGTCCAATCTGCTTGAACTGGCAGTTCTACTGGTTGAACTGGTGTACCAATATGAAATTTAGGAAAATGTAAGGAATATTGTTTAGCGAGTGTTCAAACAGTTCTCTCTCTCTCTTCTCTCTCTCTCTCTCTCTCTCTCTCTTGTTTCTTCGATAACAAAATTGGCTTCTTCAATACTACCCAACCATCTTTCTACTAAGTACAATAACCCACAATCCTTGCCCTCAACCCAATCTCATAAGCTTTCCTCCCCCCCCCTGGGAAAAATAAAAGGAAAGAAAAACAAATCCACAACCAAGTGAGCAAGCAGGCCCAGACCTACCCTATTCTAGTCCTATTAGAGAGACTAGGCTACCCTCTAAAGAATAGGGCGGTCTCTCTTTCCCCCTCTAGACATTGCCTGATATCTTGGTAATTGTGGAGTCCAAGTTTCCTTCCTCTATCCTCCCCAACATTCACAAAATCTAGGATAGGTGTCTCTGTTAGCGGATTGTTTTAGGAGCCCTAGGCTCTTTGGGAGGTTAGGGATCCCTCCCTCCACTCCCTTATCTCTTGTAACAGTGGAACATACTCGGTTTTGATTGTCGTGTCTAGAAACTCCAACATGTTCTTGTGGAAATTCATCGCTTTATATGGTCCCAACATACCTAACCTCAGATGGCTTGAGTTTAATGCCATTGCCTCTCTCACACCAAGGCCATGGGCAATCAAAGGAGAATTCAACTCCATTTGATGGGACATGGGTTCATAAAATCTGTCACTGGCCAGCATTAATGCTAGTAGGGGTGGCAATAGGTGCGTCGACCCGGACCTGACCCGACTAGGTATAACATGGACTCGAGACCTGGGTCAATTCCAAGTAATCTAGACCAACAGGTTGGTCTGGGTTTGGTCCTCGAAATAAAAATAAATAAAAATTTGTTTTATATATTTTATGACATATAGTTTTTATATGTTCTATATAGTTTATACTTGTGTATATCAAGTTGGGTTAGGTTGGGTCCAAGTCATTTAGATCTGGACCCGATTGGTAGGTCCAACATTTGGACCCCCGGACCTGAACCTGGTTCAGGTCAACCTGCCGGGTCGTCAGGTTGACCCGACCCGATCCCTAACATTTGTATGAGGGGTTTCTTCATCTCTTTGAAGAACATCATCATGATCCCGTGCAATGTCTCTACTTTCACTTGGTCTAACCATTCCTTTGAACCCTCCCTAATTCAACTTGATAGATTCCTAGTTCCCATGCTAGGGAAGAGGTCTTTTTTTGGATGCCATTCCTGTGATATCTCCAAACCTACCTCTGACCATAAGTCTATTCTTCTAGATACTCTACCACATTGTTTAAGCCCCAAACCATTTTAGATTTGAACTCTCTTGGTTTGAATAACTGGGGTTTGGTGACCTTCTTTGGTCTTTGTGAGCCTCTTTTTCTGTCCATGGTTGGAGGCTTCACACTCCTAAAAAATTTCTGCCTTCTCAAATCTGCCCTCAAATTTTGGTTTCGTAAGTCGGAACATTCAATGTAACTTCATTATGGCAAAATTAGTTTTGGTTGCTGAAATTACTGATTTGGACACCCTTGAGGAGCCTACGCCTCTCTATCCCTTTGAATTCTCTACGAACGTGATACGCAAGCCGATTCAATCTTCCTTAAAGAAGAAGAAATCTTTTGGTTTTAAAGATTCGGAGTGAAATGACTTTTTGTAGGAGATAGGAACAATGATTTTTTCCCACGAGATTGCTAGTTGCAGGTGTCAAGCAAATGCCATGACACAAATCTTTGTGGGTCATCAAAATTTCGAGGACGCCCCTGGAATTGATGCGGCCATCATATCTTTCTTGCAAATCCTTTTCTCAACTGACATTCGGCCATCCATGTCAACCTTTCCTTTTGTCTCTGTCTACCAGGAGAAGCTATTTGGCTCGGCAGACCTTTTGGGCCAAATGAAATTGCCCAAGCCATCTCTAAGCTCGACGAAGATACGTCACATGGTCTTGATGGTGTAGCCATTTTCTCAGATTTTAGCTAACCATGGCCCCCAATTACCTTCTTTAATGAATTCTATCGCAGTGGTACTCTAACCAAGGAAATGAATGTTGCACACACAGCTTTAATGAATGTTACACATGCAGCTTTAATCCCCAAAATCAAAGGCAATAGTGACATCTTAGATTTCAAGCCAATTAGTCTCCCCTATTCCTCTTATAAACTTCTGTCCAAAGTCCTCAATATAGGAGTTCGAACGATGTCATCTCCCTAAATCAGAGTGGTTTTGTTCACAAGCGCCAAATCTTTGATGGTGCACTGGTTGCGCACGGCGCAATACACTCTAGACATCTTCTCCATATTACCGGTCTCATTCTTAAATTGGATTGGGAAAAAGTGTATGATCACGTTGACTAATCCATTTTGGGGTCTTTGCAAGATGGGTTTCCTTTCCAAATGGAGAAAATAGGTGTCTGGGTGTTCAAAAAGTCGGCTGCCCAGGTATAGGGTGCCCTCTATGAGGGGCCCATTTGTGTACATTTTATTACTCAGTAATACAATTATAGTCAACATTTCTCAAAAAAACGCCCCGCACTAGGCCTATGTCGCACCGCCTGGAGCAAAAAATATAATTTCCCTCTAAGAGTAGGGAAATATCATTTGGGGGCATATCCCCACCCCCCCCCCCCCCCCCCCCTCCAAAAAAAAAACCTTAGAGAATTCAATTAGTTCCCCAAAAAATCTACTTTTTTGGCTCAAAATTGATTTTCTTTTAAGTATGGCCTTACATTTATGAGGGAACTTCATGAGTGGTCTCTCTCTCTCTCTCCTCTCTTATTCTCTCTCTTAAGGGTTTGCTATTTTTGTGGCTATAATATATTTTTCTCTTGTTTGGCTATGTTCTAATTTATAATGCAAATTTAAAATTTATAATATATTTTGGGCTATGTTTGTGCTTTGAATCTAATTTATAATGCAATTTGAAAATATTACTCTATTGACTATGTCCCCAATTTTTAATGAAAAACGAAAAATTTATAATATATTTTCCCTCCCCCTTCTTCCCCCTTCCCTTTCCTTTCTTTTTACACAGTGACTGCCCAGGTCATTGGGCAAGCACCTAGGGAGCCACCTAGATGGTTGCGACCACCGACGACCTGGATGCCCATCCCCATCTTCTTGAACATTGCTCTATGCATATTTTTTTGTTCTCATAGTGGGTCTCCTAAAAGCCATTATGGTGATCAGAGTTCTCTGTCAAGGAGATCGCATTTCTCCTTTACTTTTCAACATTTTGGTGTCACCAGAGTTCTCTGTCAAGGTGACTCCATCTCACCTTTTCTTTTCACAATAGTGTCTAAGGTCTTTAGTAGGTCTCTTTTTAGGATTTATTCTAGAGGTTTACTCTTAGTTTTCAAACTGTAGCATACGAGAGATGACATTTGTCATCTACAGTACGCTGATGACACCTTGGGTTTCCTCGACGTGTCCATTGTCAAAATTGGCAGGCTCTGGTTGCTCCTTAGACGCTTCGAGTTGGCCGGGGGGGAAAAAATCAACATGGCCAAATTAAAGCTTTAAGAGAAACCATGTATGCAAAGGGCCTGAGCCATGTATGTTGGCCTGGCCCAGCCTGAGCCATGATTTTGATTCTATTTGTCTGCGCCTGGCCTGCCTTGATAGGGCCTAGGTGGGGCTCAGGCCCGACCCATTGCCACCCCTATCAGAATTCTGTTCTTGTATTAATAGAATTTGATTTCTGGCTGGGTGGGCGCCATCATCATGAGTAACATATGCTACA